TAATTACACAAAGAACCTAGAACACCAAGCCGGGGTATTTGAAACCAAAATTGTCATCTAAATGTAAGGCCGTCGTTGATTGGCTGCTGAGCTGGAATGACAATTTTGTCCCGATTTGTAGGAATCTGAAAAACGCGTTTCACAACTTGTCTCTTATTTAGTTTTATGCCGCATTCAAGATGGCGGCCCCATATAGTAAATATCGCATTTATTTTATTATCACGTATGAGCCAGCTGACTGTGATTTAACCCAACTTGATTGTCAAATTGACTGAACTTTGTTTTGGCTTGAGGGCTTACTTCTAAAGTGAGGACCATCCTCTGTACATTTTGCTGCATTAGATCTCATTTGTGTTGTAATGTTTTTACTTGTAGCTGTTCCTGGGTGCTATGAGACGAAAGTACCAATAGTGTTGAATGAAGAATATGATAAACCTTATAGGTTTCTACATTTAATTGGTGAATTGAAGTCACCACAGCTAAAGTTTGATCCTTTGGCTATTGTATTAACCCCTGTACCACTGTGCACGGAAGTCAGTGCTGATTTCACCATACATGCATCGGGATTCAGAAAGTAAGTTGATTAATGTATCAGTCATTTGTAATCCTACCTTAAGTCTATGGCTGTACTAGGTGAGTGCACCAAATTGGCAGACAATTCCTGCATGTAAAATGACCCACATGGCAAAAAGAATTATTTTACTATCAAGTGATGCAGTTCCACCTAATAATGGGACAAATTTTTACATTAAAACCTGTATAACAACCCAACATGTTATACAAAGTGCAGGGTTCAGAAAGGGCTAGGTTTGCAAGTGCAACTTAAACTTTACTGTTTGAGATGTGATCTTGTTCTTCTTAGCATTGCCTTCAAAAGGCAAGAACCCTGACATTATAATAATTATAATTAAGCTAATTATAATCAGTATATGTTTATTTCAGAGAGACCATCATAGATGTTGAATTACCGGAAGTAGAGTTAGACGATGGTAGCATTACATCGGTTTTGAATGTGACTTTCCCGGAAGGTCAGATAATCCAACCATGTTGTTCTGATGATGGTGATGAAGACCCATTTGTATTGAAATGTACAGTGACGTTCTCATCACCAAAACCAGTATCATTTACACAACCTGTCAGGTTCCTGGATACAGATGGAAATAAGTAAGTCAACTTTTCAATTTTCTGACTTAGGTTGCCTTGTAAGACTGTTATTACCATTACCAATTTTTTTCTTTCTTCAGTAACACTAATTGAAGTTTTCATTTTTCCCGTAGTTTCTCCATCCCAGTAACAGCTACTGCAGATAACTGTTTACTGACAGTTTATCCATTCATAGCAAAGCACAGAGCTGACCATCAGATTGTAACAGAACAGGGTAAAAGTGTCAAAGGTAGACGCTCCCAATCAAAAGAAAGTCTGAATGTTGGTGAAGCAGTGTTAATGGCAGTGGACTCTCCTACCAGACCATCAACTAGAGCCAGCACTAGTTCCACAAGTAGATTTGTTTCTAGTACATCAAGTTATGAAGACTCCTCTGCTGACATCACTGGTAAGATGATCAACATCTTTCTCATTTGTAATTTTGCTTCTAGTTCTAGAGAAAATTGAAAAATTATGTGTTTTTTTTTGTTTTTTTTAAGATTATCTAACAAGATATTATGTTCAACATTTATTTAACCTTTATTAGTCCCCGTTCAGACGCAGCCTGAAAAGGGGACTACTAATTCAGGTTATGTCCATAATTCCGTCTCCAACATTTTCTCAGAAATTCTACAGCAGATATCAGTGAAACTTGGCAGGTTGATGAACATGTCCCCTCCGAGTATGCACGTAATTTTTTTTCCAGATCTGAAAATCCCAAGTGGGTCTTTTTCACGATTTCATCAAAAATTGCCTCTCCCGGCAACATTGACAAAACGTCTGCGCATGCTCAGAATAAATTAATTACTGTAAAATACTTTATTTTTGCTTGCAACATTTTTTTGCTATTTTCGCTGAAGGAATGTTTCAGTTAAAATAAAATCCAGCGAATATACCCTTTTCTTATATTTTACAGTCAACTTGTCAAAAATCAATGAAAATAAATTCAATACAAAACACCCAGAAAAAGTCTTTTCAGCGAATGATAATTCCAGCTGAAATAAAATATTTTACAGTAGATTAGATCTGTGAGTAAGGCTGCTGTTATTACGGCACGTGATTTCTCTATTGCGTGCAATTTATTATAGTACTGTTTATACATGTATTCTGTTTGGCTCAGTGGTCTCATTCACTCGTTACTAGAAGAACTAGTAACTTTATTTGATTTCAAGAACTTCAGACGGGCGGCATAGAGACGTGTTTGCAAAGGTAAGTTTTCCAGTTTATTGGGGTAC